CCTCATTCCCTTCGTGTAACCCATTTTCTACCCAGTCTCTCCCAATCCATGTAAAGCTAGAAGTTAATTTCTCAATTGAGATCTCATCATACATTTGATACATTATTCTCCATGCATGGCAGGTCCATTAGAAAGGGCAAATTATGCACAAGTATAAAACAGATGCAATTTTCCTTTTGTCAAATAACAATATATTTGGGGGTTTTAGATCCTTTTTCCTATTGAGAGTTTACCTTGCATAACAGTATTCTTGTGCTTCCATGCATGAAACTTAACTTACTATGCTACATCATGTATGTTTAAACTTGCGGTCTCCCCTGTGAACCTAGGTACTTGCGGGTTTGTTTGCATTCATATATTTCCAGTTTTTTGCTTTCATATATCGCCGGGATATTTTGTGTAACCTAAGGTTGTCCATTTTTCTTTGTTTTTTTGCCCTGGCCTACTTCATTCCATATCAGGACCAGACAACGGTTTTAGTTTGTGATATAGCATGGTAATGCATTCTGATGGTCTGGGAGTCGGCTCACAATTTCGAAGAGATGATCCCAGTTGACATATGTAGTGGTTTTTCCTCCTGCATAGCCGTAGGGTGTTAGCCTCTTCATCCTTCCCAGAGGTAAGTCAAGTAGAGAGCAAAACCAGCTACATCACCACCACAAGTCCCATTTGCTTATTTGTTAATGTTGTGCTTTGCATTGATCTAAATTTGTCAGTTGGTGCTTAGTTTTAGTTGGCGAGATATGATGGTATTACTTGGAGCAAAATTGTATCTTGCGTTAATAGATGAAACTGAAAACATGGTGTGGTCCACTTCATATGTTCTAAAGTTATATGACTTGGGGAAGAGAGATGTTTCAGAATCCAACCCTCTTTTTGACATAATTCCAGATGATAGAAAAGTACAAACAAAAGTATTTATGCTAGCGGATCATTTCTAACTTCGAATAAATATACCTTTTCTCCTCTATCACGGCATTGTAATTTAGGCCGTTTATATTTCCTCAAATGTTGATATTGTTCAACTGGACGGGCGCGGCAACGCGCGTCTTCATGGTCTAGTTGTACTTATTTTGGGAAATGCCTGGATGGACCGGGCGGCAGCTGCTCCCGCCACAAGTCGTGCTATCATTGGCCTAGAATTAGATGGATTCCATGGTATCATTGATACAAAAGTCCATATCCTTATCATCCGAGCGATACTTCGGTCTAAGGGCTGGCCCTCTCCCAGTTGCGGTCCATCGCTCGTCTCGTGCCCGACAGCAGGACGGAGCTTGTCTCGCGCCCGGCAGCAGGACGGAGCTCGTCTCACGCTCGGGGCTGCAGGACGGGCGATGGAGGCCAGTTTTGGCCGGCCTATTGGGTCTCGGCGCTAGGGGTCGTCCAGGTGTGCGAAAGGCGAGGCCTTTCCGCTCGTCTCTTCGGTTGGGGTAGCGGCGGGTCTCGGGTCAATGGTGCCTAGGTCTTGGATGCCGGGGCGGTGGCCCCGGTGGTGGTAGCGCGGTGCTTTTGGGCAGAGCCCGCGGCTTGGTGCTGCCCAGTGGCCATGGCCGTGCGGGCGGCGTGGCAGCCGGGATGCGTCGTTCGGTGGTGGTGAGGGGTGGTCGGGGTGAAAACCTGTTCTTTCTGCGGACCGGCGGCGGCGAAATTCGTGCCCTTTTTGAAGGCGTCGTCGCGGCTCTTATCACCCATCATGTGCTCCAGGGAAAACTCTGAACCTTGGATCGGGCGGTGGCGGTGCTCCGGTGTCGTATCCTTGATGAAGGCGCCGCCTTGGAGTCCACATATCGTCGTATGCGGCTTCATCTCTTCGTAGTTAGGGATGGTGTTGCTGCGCTCAGCGCCTGTGTATCATGCCTTGGGTGTGTGCGTTTGTTGTGGTGGCGTGCGTCTATATTGGGATGTTGGTGATCTTTGCTTTATATATAAAGCGGAGCGGAAGCCTTTTTCGGTAAAGTAAGCAATATGAGACAAATATGCAAGGGTAGGGACCACCACTGAAATAGTTGGGAAGTACATGCACAACTTTCCCATTTCTCTCTCATTTTTCTCCCGTGCGACGGCTCCACCCAATGTGGTCAATGAGATTTTGTCAGAGATAAGCAGTAGTGGTGGCTCGACTTGGGTCTCACAGGACATGAGCATGGCAAGGAAGGAGGGCATCCCTCCCGATGCCGGCAGCTAACATCTCATGGATTGAGTGACTATAAGTGTCTGTGTAGGAAACTCAAAGAACATAAGAGTAGTGTTGAACGTTTAACAAACATGAATACGCAAAATGAACTTAGATCGATACAAATCAAAAATCAAACAATTGATGATGACATGAACGAGAAATTGCAGAGTAAAAGGGGAGTTAGAGAAATGTTTGGTGAGAATAGTTTTTGCTGTGAAATTTCTTACAAAAGTTGTTTTGGCTTTTTGAAGATCAAATGAGAAGTTGTATCAAGATAACAATGGTGATTTTCTGGGCACAATTGAAATGATTGCTGAATTTGATCATGTGATACAAAAACGCATTAGACACATTAAAAATAGTGAAATTCATCATCATAATCTAGGCCACAATATTCAGAATGAGTTAATTTCAGTTTTTATTGATATTGAGGATCACCAAGGATATCAAGTGTTTCTCTATTGTCATGGATTGTACCACGGATGTGGGCCATGAAGAACAAGTGACTCTAATTGTGCGTTGTGTGAACATGTCAAGTAACTTTCTGGGAGTGGAGGAGTTTTTCCTAGAGTTCTTAAAGGTTGATGACATGTATGAATTGGGGGTTTTAAGGTATTGATGGATACATTGGGTTCTCTTGATTTGGACTTCTCTGTTGTGAGAAGTCAAGGTTATAACAATGGTTCCAATATGAACAGAAAAGGCAAAAATGTTCAGAATCATTTGCTTGAAATTAACACAAATCATTATATATGCCATGTGCATGTCATAGTTTGAATCTCACTCTTTTTGATATGGAAAAATCTTTCAAACAAGCTATTACATTCTTCGGTGTTATCACAATGGATATACATATTGTTTTCACGTTCTACTCTAGGGGTAGGATTTGCTTGAGAATGTTTGAAAACTTACTGTCAAACCTTTGTCTAGCACTTGTTGGGAGAGTCTAATAATGATCGTGCAACCTATCGGGTGCCAAAATCCCCAAATGAGACCAACTTTGGAGGAACTAAGCGAAGGCTTCTACTAATGACCCATCAACAGTAAGTGACGCTCAATGTTTCGTCGGTGCAGTTGAGGATTTTGAAACTTCAGTTGGTATAGTTATCTGGTATGGTTTTTTGTTGTCTATAAATATGGTGAGAATTTTTTTACAGGAAAATTTTGTGTGCCTCAATGCTACTCTCAAACACATTGAGGAGGTCATCTCATATTATGAGGAGTACAAAAATGAAGGCTTTGATTCTAGTACTGAGATTGCAAAAGTTGTTGCATTTAATATGGATATAGAGCCAAAATTTCCAACAAAACATCAAAGTAAAGGGAATGATCAATCTGATGAAACTATTGATCAAGATGAATAAATACAACTGCCGACTATGGAATCCTTCGGAGTTAGTTTCTAGTCACTATTGACACTGCAATGATTTCATTTTGACTAGTCGATTAGAGCAGCCCAAGGAATTTCATAGTAATCCACCAAAATGTTTGGTTTCTTATTCAACTCAAAAATCTGAAGTCCTTGCATGATAGTAATATATCGAAATGTTGCACTACTTCTGCGGAAGCTTTTTTCTCATAACTCATCTGATGTTGAACTTGGTGATTTTTCACTGAATTAGAAGTTTTGCAAGTAACTTCGCCAGATGATTTGATGTCAGCTTACGAGATTCTTCATTTTGTTCCAGATGTATATTGCTATCCAAATGTTTTTGTTGCCTATCAAATCCTCTTAACGGTACAAGTGACAATAGCCTCAGCTGATTTTTTTTTATCTAAAGTGAAACTACTGAAAAATCGGTTGAGGTCAACTATGTTATAAGAAAGATTGAATTGCTTGGCTATGTGCTGTATTGAGAAGGATATCTTGTACATCAATGATCTCAATATTGTCCTTAATGACATTGTGTCAAGAAACATCTGAAGAAGCTTTTTTATAAAGCATTGGAGCATTATTGTCGATGGAGTCACTGGAGTTTGGTTCTTATTTGAGGTAATCATACTAGTTCCCTTTTGATATTGCTCAACAATCATTATTGCATCTCTCAAACTGAAAATGTATGGTTGAAAGATAACTTTCAATACTTTGCAAGTGAAACTAGACACATATATGTAGATATATACCTACACACAGAGGGAGGTATATATAACCCTTTTTTTTTGCGAGTGAGGTATATATAACCGTAAGTACCCATGTTGTCAACTTCACCCTAGGGCCTTCCAAAACATAGAGCCAGCCGTGGGAGGGTGTGTCTTTCCCACGACATTAATTAGTCCTAACAAAATAGAAGGAAAAAAACACACCGTCTCAGCATCGCAACAACAATTCCAACGGACGGAGTAAAATTTCCGGGAAGAGGTGGTAAAGAGACAAGACGGAACCAAAGCGTATCCTACCAAAAATTAAAAAGAGGGCACTAGCAGTGCTTTGCTTTTTCTTTCTCTCCATTATGAGATTTAGGCAGCACTTATTTACATCCTTAACCTCGGGAAAAACAATGGATGGATCAGTGCTACTACCAACCAGCATACTTGGCGTGTGACAGAATAAACTCTTTGCCTGCCCCCTCTCTTTCATTAGCTAACTTCTAGGAAACAGAGAATCAGGACCGACCGTACGTAAGGAGCTGTTATGGTACCCACATGCCATATTTCCCCTCTTTTTAACAAGGTTTGTGGCCCGCCCCTTTTGACTAAGCTAACCGAAAGCGGACTCCTTTGGACTCATCGCTACCACTTGGCGCAACATCTCCCTGTCCATTTAGTCCAGTTCCAGTTCAAGCAAGGCACAACACTGAACCATACAGACCAAGGCCCAGCGAAGATGGGGAACTTCCTCGCGCGCTTCGGCGAAGATGAGACTCCCGGCAGGCTCCCAAAAGATGAGACACCAGCAGCCGGGCAGCCGCCGGGCCGGCAGGGCACCAGCCTGGTCGGTCAGCTCCACGTCTTCGACGGACCGCCGCCCCGCGTCGATGGCGGTTGGCCTACCCTGGCCAACACCGGCAGCGCTGCAGGTGCTGCCTTTGCGCCCGGTCGCATCACCCCCTCAGGCTCAGGCTCACGCTCACGCTTCCCTTCTTCCTCTGCCATTGCGCCCGGTCGCATCACCGCCTCAGGCTCCGGCTCCGCCGCCACACGCTCTCACTCTGCCTCCACCTCCGCCTCCACGGTATATACATGTATTTATGTTAGTTCTTCCGGTTTTGTGAAATAATTTCGAATGCAAAAATGACTTCCAAAATAGGATATTTTGTGAAGCATCCCTGTAAAAATATATACAAGACACTAAACAGAAGTGCAACCCCTTCTTTACAATTCAACAAATCGAAGGAATTAAATTTATATGGTTTGCCAACTATTTGTTCTCTCATTCATGTGTTTTTTAATTTCTTTTTTGTTATTCCTACCTTTTCAGAATATCTATCTATTATATTAGTATAAAATAAGATACAAACAAGCCACCATGTTCGTCCACATAGGTTAATATATTTACAACTTTTATAATATAGATTAATGGTTGAGATTTGAAATTTAATTCATCTAAAATATGTTCCTTCGACACACAAGGAAACCTCTCTAAAATCATGATTACAAGCATATACAACCTAACCAATCTAGGTTCAAGGCGTATACCACCGGTCATGGCCACAACACGGATTTGAACATGCTGCCATTAATATTCATTCATTGAAGGCTCCAATGAACTTCGTGATCATCACCCTTGCATCACGATTTGATGTCTTTGGCCTCACCATGAATGACCATGTTGCAACGCCACACCAACCACGCGCAACCCATATCACAACAGTTGTCAATCTGTCCCCGCAAGAGGCCACCTCCAACTTCCAAATGACCATTACACGAGAAGTTGCAAGACTTGCACACTAGGTGGTCTACTCCAATAATCCTATAGGAACTTAATAACCATGTAAATAGAGAAGACGTGTTATTTGGTTCACATGATAGGGAAAAATGATTTTTATTTGTTTTGTTTTGAGTTAGTTTTGGATGAACCAGTCGCTAGCTCATATTCACCCATACTTTTTTTTGTGCATCTCCTTCTTGAGTATCAAAGTCAATCATGATGCCTTGATCATCCATCTATGAAACAAAACGTATTG